AACCGAATTACACCTGCAAGCCGAAAAACTTACTGAAACTGCATTGCATATAAACTTGGAAGTTTTTTGTTTTTTGGTTTTTGGTTTTTGTTTTTTTTTTTCATTTTCTATTTTCCATTTTATTTTAATTTATTTTTATATATAGATATTTCTTTCATTTACTTATTTTTTATTTTTTTATCTTTGATTTTCAATCCTCTCTCTGTCTCTCTAATGTCTGTTCAGCTTACTGTCGATTAGTACACTAACACTCCCTGTTTATACCTTTGAACTCTCTTGTCTGATACCTTGTTCTGCTTTCTCCCTCTTGTCTGTATATTTGTTTTCCCCTTTTCTTTAACTTCTTGCTTTCCATCTCAGCTCACCCTTCCATTCTAAATATTACCATTGTTATTATTACAAGCTAGAAAATACTTAATTGCACACAGTACAGGGACAGTAACAACACCAACAATAATGATGGGAAGACAGAAAAAACAGGGAAACCAGTTTCCCCACAGCAAAAAATTAGTACAGGAACCAGAGGGGAATGAAGAGAACAGAAACACAGATCCAGACTCCAACAAAATGAAGATAAACTATGCCAAAGGACCCAATGAAGCCCACAAAATAATTTATTTTTTTTGAACCCCTTAAGTCTCTCATTTATTGTCTTTTTTTTTCATTTTTCTTTTATTATTCATATGTGCATACAAGGCTTGGTTCATTTCTCCCCCCTGCCCCCACCCCCTCCCTTACCACCCACCCCACCCCCTCCCTCTCCCCCCCCCCAATACCCAGCAGAAACTATTTTGCCCTTATTTCTAATTTTGTTGTAGAGAGAGTATAAGCAATAATAGGAAGGAACAAGGGTTTTTGCTGGTTGAGATAAGGATAGCTATACAGGGCATTGACTCACATTGATTTCCTGTGCGTGGGTGTTACCTTCTAGGTTAATTCTTTTTGATCTAAACTTTTCTCTAGTTCCTGGTCCCCTTTTCCTATTGGCCTCAGTTGCTTTAAGGTATCTGCTTTAGTTTCTCTGCGTTGAGGGCAACAAATGCTAGCTAGTTTTTTGGGTGTCTTACCTATCCTCACCCCTCCCTTGTGTGCTCTCACTTTTATCATGTGCTCAAAGTCCAATCCCATTGTTGTGTTTGCCCTTGATCTAATGTCCACATATGAGGGAGAACATACAATTTTTGATTTTTTGAGCCAGGCTAACCTCACTCAGAATGATGTTCTCCAATTCCATCCATTTACCAGCGAATGATAACATTTCGTTCTTCTTCATGGCTGCATAAAATTCCATTGTGTATAGATACCACATTTTCTTAATCCATTCGTCAGTGCTGGGGCATCTTGGCTGTTTCCATAACTTGGCTATTGTGAATAGTGCTGCAATAAACATGGATGTGCAGGTGCCTCTGGAGTAACAGTCTTTTGGGTATATCCCCAAGAGTGGTATTGCTGGATCAAATGGTAGATCGATGTCCAGCTTTTTAAGTAGCCTCCAAATTTTTTTCCCGAGAGGTTGTACTAGTTTACATTCCCACCAACAGTGTAAGAGGGTTCCTTTTTCCCCGCATCCTCGCCAACACCTGTTGGTGGTGTTGCTGATGATGGCTATTCTAACAGGGGTGAGGTGGAATCTTAGCGTGGTTTTAATTTGCATTTCCTTTATTGCTAGAGATGGTGAGCATTTTTTCATGTGTTTTTTGGCCATTTGTATTTCTTCTTTTGAGAAAGTTCTGTTTAGTTCACTTGCCCATTTCTTTATTGGTTCATTAGTTTTGGGAGAATTTAGTTTTTTAAGTTCCCTGTATATTCTGGTTATCAGTCCTTTGTCTGATGTGTAGCTGGCAAATATTTTCTCCCACTCTGTGGGTGTTCTCTTCAGTTTAGAGACCATTTCTTTTGATGAACAGAAGCTTTTTAGTTTTATGAGGTCCCATTTATCTATGCTATCTCTTAGTTGCTGAGCTGCTGGGATTTCATTGAGAAAGCTCTTACCTATACCTACTAACTCCAGAGTATTTCCTACTCTTTCTTGTATCAACTTAAGAGTTTGGGGTCTGATATTAAGATCCTTGATCCATTTTGAGTTAATCTTGGTATAGGATGATATACATGGATCTAGTTTCAGTTTTTTGCAGACTGCTAACCAGTTTTCCCAGCAGTTTTTGTTGAAGAGGCTGCTATTTCTCCATCGTGTATTTTTAGCTCCTTTGTCAAAGACAAGTTGGTTATAGTTGTGTGGCTTCATATCTGGGTCCTCTGTTCTGTTCCACTGGTCTTCATGTCTGTTTTTGTGCCAGTACCATGCTGTTTTTATTGTTATTGCTTTGTAATATAGTTTGAAGTCAGGTATTGTGATACCTCCTGCATAGTTCTTTTGACTGAGTATTGCCTTGGCTATTCGTGGCCTCTTGTGTTTCCATATAAATTTAACAGTAGATTTTTCAATCTCTTTAATGAATGTCATTGGAATTTTGATGGGAATTGCATTAAACATGTAGATTACTTTGGGGAGTATCGACATTTTTACTACGTTGATTCTACCAATCCATGAGCATGGGAGATCTCTCCACTTTCTATAGTCTTCCTCAATCTCTTTCTTCAGAAGTTTATAGTTTTCCTTGTAGAGGTCTTTCACATCTTTTGTTAGGTTTACACCTAGGTATTTGATTTTGTTTGAGGCTATTGTAAATGGAATTGTTTTCATACATTCTTTTTCCGTTTGCTCATTGTTAGTGTATAGAAATGCTAATGATTTAGGAATACAAATAGGTAAAGAAACTGTCAAAATATCCCTATTTGCTGAGGACCTGATCCTATACCTTAAAGACCCAAAAAACTCTACTCAGAAGCTTCTAGACATCATCAATAGCTATAGCAAGGTAGCAGGCTATAAAATCAATATATATGGATTTAATAGATTGTCTTAAAAGATTGCAGTCTGGGTGAATCACCAACATCCTGGACTGTCCTTTTTTTATAGGATACCCATTAAAGTTGATGTGAGTCTTGCGTTCCCGGGCCTCTGTGTATTGCATGTTGAAGTAGCAGAGAGCGTGTTAACCATTCAGTCCCAAAAGATGGAAGACTCACAATAGGGCATCCAATGACACTGCTCCAGTCTGAGGGTGAGGCCTGGAAGCCCCTGGAGCGGCACTGGTGTGAGCCTGTGTCGAAAGGCGGGAGAAGCTGGAGTCTGCCATCCACAGGTGATGGCAGCAGCAATAGCTGCCCTTGCTCAGGAAGCATGGAGCTGGCATGCACTGACTGGCTCTCTCCTCTACTTTCATTTCATCCAGGCCCGAGCCTGTGGGATGGGGCTTCTGCTTCCGTTAGTCCTCTGTGGCTCACCCTCTTGGACACACACAGAGGGTGCTTTGCTCATCCCCTAGGCACTTATGAATCCATTCAAACTGCCTGTAAGCTTAGCCATAGCAGTAGTCTGGGGCCTGGTGATTTCAGCCCTGGTGAGGCAGCACATCGGGGTGGGCATGTGTCATGGAGGAAGGTGTCACCTCCTGGCAGCCAGGGGATGAAAGAGCCTGACTGGAAGTGCCAGTGTCCCAATATCCACTTCAAAACCATGCCCACAGTGATGACTTCCTCCCACTAGCCTCACCTCTTAAAGCTTCCACCACCTCCCAGTAGTGCCCTGGCCTGGAGACCAAGCTTCCACACATGGGCTTTGGGGGACTCTAGCAAACCATAGCAGACAGCCTCACCCCTGGCCTAGACTCACCCTGCAGTGACTCATGCCCTCCTCTCCACAATCTTCACCTGGACACTGAAATGTCCTCTCTGGCCAACCCATGCACAGCCTCTACTAAGGGAGACATTTTCCAGGACTCGTGTTGCTTCCCTTCCTGGATATGAGTGAGTCCATTATGTTTACTGCTCCCGTGATCCACTGTGGTTGTTTGCTCTGATGACCATAATAAAGGACCTCAGACTGGGCACTGAACAACAGAAATTTATTTGTTCACATTGTGGAGCTGAGAAGTCTGAGCTAAGGCATTGGCAGTGTTGGGTTTTTCTCAGCCTCTCTCCATGGCTTGTAGTTGATGTCTTCACAATAGGGAGACCATGACGCAGCCCAGTCTCGGGCTGAAGGCCTGGGAACACCCTATTGTGTCTTCTCACCTGCCTGACTCTGGGTCTCTTTGACTTAATCTCCTCTTCTTGGAGCATCTGTCATGGTGGATTTGCTCTAGCCCAGTGACCTCACTGCACATTAATTACCTCGTTAATGCACTGTGTCCACAGACAGTCACATGCAAGCTCCTGGACTGTTGAGTTTACCACGTGAACTTCAGGGGATCTAATCCAGCCTCACCCATGAGTCTACTAAAATCCTTGCCCTCTGTCAAGGTATCCTTTCAGATCCCCACAGTCAAAGGGAGATCTGGAAGGGGTTTACACTCTGGGGTGTGCAGCAAGTCAGGGAGACTGCGGCTTTCCCAGGAGGCTCCTGCTCAGAGCAGTCACTGCCTTATGTCCTGGAAGGGGACAGCTCGGCCTGCGCACTTCTCCTGCAAGGTTGACTGAGTCTCCAGACTAACCTCTTGTCTGCATGCGTGACCCCCCCCCACTACGTCCTTCCGTTGGTGATATGCAGTTGTCACCATCACTTTCTTTATTGCCTTTGCTGGTGCCATCTAATAAAAACACAGACATCTGAGACCATGTGATGGCAATAAGAGGAGCCTGGAGTGACTGTGTGGTTGTCAGGGACAGTGTCCCAAAGTTATAAGAAGGTGGAGAAGCTGGGTGGACTGGGAGAAATCCAGCATTAGTCACCAAGGTTTTCTTGAGTCCTGTCCTGGCTTGCTGCACAGTCTGGAAGCCCTGAAATTAGGGGGGTTCAGGTGTTCCATTTGTGTGGGGGCTTGCGGAAACGCACTGGGGACCTACGTACTGTGGCCTTGGGAGAGAAGATGGGTGGCCAGGGGTCATGGTAAAGGGAGGCAGAAGGCCTGGAATTGACCCTGAATACAGAGGAGGCACTAGGTGATAGGCCGAAAAGTGAGATTGGGGACAGAGGTCGGTTTCAAAACGAAGTGGTAGACCAAATTTATATCCTTTTGGCTTAATGTCTCCACCCTGAAGGATTTCAGCACCTAGGACAGAGACAGAGTTTCCGTCTGACCTCATCTGGACAGGATGATGGCCCAAATTCCACCAAAGCTGTTCAGTGTAATCCCCATGCTGAGGGAAGAGCACCCTAGGCCACCATGACACCCTCCCCTCCACAGGGCCTCAAGCTAGTTCTGGCCCAGCTATATTTGGAAGGCCCCAGGTAACCCAGCAGGCCCCGCCTTATTCTGAAGCCCCGCCCACTACTGACCCCGCCCCCTCGCTCACATGGTGCAGCAGTAGGAGAATCTGCGTCTCTGCCAACCGCCGTCCCAGGCACTGGCGCACCCCAAAACCAAAGGCCAGGTGGTGGAAACTCAGCCTCCTGTCCAGCCAGCGCTGGGGACTGTAGCGCTCTGGCCTCGGGAACACGGCGGGGTTTCGGCCCATCGCATACAGATGAAACAGCACCAATGTCTGCAGCAGACGCGGAGGGAGGAGTCAGCTGCCTTGTGGGGCCATGTGCAATGTGGCTTCTGCGGGGACTTGGGGTTCACTCACCCCAGCCGGGATATGGTAGTTCTGAAGCACCAAGTCTGACTGCTGCATTCTCTCCAGGAAGACACCAACGGGGTACAGCCTGCCAGTGGAACACAAAAGGGAGGGACCTCAGACAAGGCAGGCCCCTCCTGTCCTTTCTGCACCCTACTAAGTAGGACCTCCCTATGCCCCTCCACCCCCGGTTATGAGATGGGTTGCACTTCCTTGCACTGCCACTCAGCCGAACCTCTCCCATCCTGAGCAGCATAGGATGCTAAAATGGAGTCCCAGGGGAAGGGCAGAACCCCACCCTTCAGAGAGTGGAAGAGAGGGTGAGGGGCTATGGGTCCTGGCAAATGCCTCCTCAGCCCCATCCCTTAGAGCAGCAGAGCCAGACCAGCTGGGGAGGGTCAGCCCACACCTACCGCAAGGTCTCTTTGATGGCAGCCCGCAGCAGGGGCAGCTCCGTAGTGGCCCTCTGGGGATTTCCAGAGATGCTGGCCTCGGCTGCCAGGCTCTCCTGGCGTAGGGCCTTTTGCACGTCAGGGTTCCTAGCCAGCTCAAAGAGTGTCATCAACAAGGGAACAGCTGTCTGCAGAGGCCATGGGGAAAAGGCTCAGACCTGGGCATTGTCCAGGGCCCTCAGCACTGGAATGTCTATCCCAGGAGGATGCATCTCCCAGGGGTTGGGGACATACATGTCCAGAGCTGGACCAAGCCTGGGACCCCGACCTAATGTCCATCTATGTGTTGCCTAAGTCCTGAGTTAAATGCCCCCTGCATCCCAACCCACCCTCCTCCTTGGCCTCCCCAATGTCTGGACCTCAGGCCCTCTCTGCTATCCTTAGGGCTGCTCTAACAGCACTTGGGGGCATCCTGGAGCCCCCGTCCACCTGCCCCCAGTGCCTTATCTGCCTGGCTGTCCACGGGACCCTCAGCACAGGCCTCACCATCCCAACCTGAACTGACACCCCAGACCCCATCAGTTTCCCCTTCTGCATCGTTCCTGCCACCATGAAACACCCCAGTCTACAATCTGAGCCTCAGCATCTCCAAAGTGCCTCCTTCCATGGCCCTGGACCCCTGAGTGCCCTGAGTCACAGATGTGGCCTTCTAAGCTCTCCCTGATGCCAGGGCCTGGAGTCCATGCTGTGCGCTGGGGCTCTACAGGCATATTAGGAATTCACTCTGACCTCCTGCTCCCTGGCTGGCTTCTTATACCTTGCTGTGAAGGCCAAGGAAAGGGGTCTCTCCTTTTGGCAGTCCTGACCTCTGTCTGTCTTATCTGTGTCCACCTCCCCCAGTCTCCCGCAGCCTGGCTGCCCTCCTGCCCAGGCTGTGCATGCCCTCCTGGACTCTCCTCTCCTCGGTACCCTCACGGCCTTGCTGTACTTTGCATTGCTCCTGCCCTTTCAGCTGCATGTCTCCTTCTTCCAGGAGAGGACCAGCCACTAGAGGAGGGCCTGGGAATGAGGCTCGTGGTTGAGATTATGCTTGGAAGGACATGGCCAGGGTTTCAGAGCTCAGTGGTGTAGCACATGGAGGCCTCACCGTGTCCACACTCCCAGCAGTAAGTTCCAGAAAGTTGGCCTTGATGGCATCAAGTGGCAAGTCCCCATTCAACAGCATTTCTGTGAGCATGCCACTGTACTGCTGGTGGCAGCCCAGGGTCATCTCCTGATACACTTTCTGGATGCATTTGTTGGCTGTGGGAGAGGGGAGAGCACTTAGGGCTTGCAGCTGGGAAGCACCTCTTCTTTGTGCTCATGTTACCCATTCCCCTGCAGCACCTACAGGACTTCCTGTTCCTCTCCCAAGTTCTCCAGTTCAACCCAGCCACCACCTCACTGCTAACTGACTCTCTGTGAGGACCATCAGGAAACCATAGCCATTTTATGTGGCCTTAAGTGTGGCCCTGGGTAGAATGAGTGGGAAATTGGGTGACAATCAAGCCTCTGGTTCAAGGTCCTGCCCAGGTCCCTGGCTCTCACCATACTCGTAGATGTAGTCCCAGGCCTCAAAGTGCTCCTTCCACAGCTGGGTGCTGGTCCAGCGGGACAAGCTCCTCGGCAAGAACAAGAGCTGCCCAGTGGACTTCAACATGGCCTGCACGGCATGGATGAACTTCAGACTCCCAGAGCTCAAGTTATAGCCAAAGAGGCCCAGACGCTCCCCAAAAAGAACAAAGTTGCTGGCTGCAGAGATGAAGGCATTGCTGAGCCCAAGCCTAAAGACTCCCTCCTCTTCCCTCCCTGCCCCAGCACTGGCCACCTCCAATCGCTGAGGCCAAGACCCTCCCCAGGCCCCACACCTTCTATGGTGTAGTGGAAGATACTGGGCTGGACATCCAGGGTCAGACTCCCTCGGGCGTTCTGCAGCACCTTCTTCTTTAGGTACTCAGTGAAGTCCCTTGCCACCGTGTCCAGCAGGGGGTGAATTTCTGTACGGCCTTTGGTGAGATCACATTCGGGTTCAGCTGCAGTCTGTTGAGGCGCCATTCGGGCCCGTTCCTGCAGGGCAGGCAGCAGAACTTGAGAGGCACCCCAGACAAGCCCAGCCCCAACTGTACCCCATCTTCCTGGTGCCCACAGGGATCGGGTGGGCTGGGAGATGACAGCAGGCTCAGAGGCTGGCTGCTGCATTTTCCTACTGTACCCCTTTCTCCCTTTGCACTCTGGGCCAATGGCACCTGAAGTCTAACTGGAGAAAATAGTGATCAGGCAAAACAAGCTAGGAGCATTGGCCGCTTCAGTCCTGTGAACTCATAGGCCCTTTGCCTGCCACACACAGCACCCATGCTGGACCTTTCTGGGTCAGGAAGTCTTTTCTCCAAGGGAGGAGGTCAAGCTTTGCCTACCTGGCCTACACCATGGTCCACAGGAGAGAAGAGCTGGCTGACTTTACCTCCCTGACCTTCTCTATGGCGCCTCCTGTCCTCGGTCATGTTTCCATGAAGTGTCCTTGTGTTGTGTAGAGCAGGAAACCAGGCCAGACCTCCCACAACATCCACAAACCACAACCCACAGCACGTGACTGCGTTGTAGAGACTCCAGGGAATGGCAGGCAGGGATTTGCATTACGAACACAAATTTGCACAAACAGATTTCTTTTTCTCTAATGCTTGTAACTAATGGCAGTGATCACACACACATTTATGTGCATGTGTCTGCTTGCCTCAACTACACGCTGTTCTAAGAAGGCTTCCTGGAGGAATAGGACCTTCAACTGAAGGAGAGGAGCAAGTCATGTGTGTCCAAACAGGAGCTCAAATCATGTACATGTCCACATGCATGTACAAATGCAGGCCAACAGATGTGCACACACATGCAAATACACGGAAGGACACACTTGCACAGAAAATGCACAATTTATATGTACACTTGTGCACAGACACTATACTCACGCAAATGCAAACACGAGGAACATCCCAACGTGCAAGTCTTGTGCTCACACATGCACACACACACACTCGCCTCCTTCAAATGCATGTGCCCACCCTTCTTCAACCTCTGCTCTCTTCATATGGCCTTCCTGCAAGATGCTCTATGTTAAAGCTCCATGCAGGGAGCCCCTTCCTAAACCCTGCCATTCCCAAAAGAATTCACTCCCTGATGTACAGTGGGGTGGCTTTTCTCTCTTAGTCTTACCAGCCCAGTGACAACCTCTTTGCAGCTGGTCCATGGCAAGCACCATGTGTCCTTGGCTTACCTGTCCAGGTGTGCCACCTTTCCACAGGATGGAGCCATGTCCAGTGCAGGCACACCACTTAGTACCTTGCTTATAAGCACAAAGGAGTCATCCACCTATTGCCTGCCACCCCTCAGCCCTGGAATCAACTCCCCAAAGTGAAGACACCCTAAGAGGAGTGCCAAAGCCCTTATGGATGTCAGGCTGTGGCACACACTGAGCTAGTTTTATAAGCAACGGTAGGAGGGCCAGCCCCTAGAAGAGAAAACCCCAACCAAGGCCTGCACAGAGGAAAGGAGGGGCTCAGTGTTCCTCCTTTCACCCACCCAGGTGCCTGGGAGCATTGCTCTACCACTGCACTCGTTCCCCGGACAGGCTCTCCATGGGAAGGCACCATGGTATCAGTCTCTGCCCATCCACACAATCTGTGGGTCTCCTGCATCCTCATCCTGTCTGCCTCCCTCTGCATCCCAATTGGCTCCTCACAGTAAGAACACGCCTCGTTTCTGCTCACGATGCTCTCTGTAGACCAGCCAGGGCTCCAGGTACATTCGGCGGGGATACAGGCCATCCATCTGGTACATTTTCTCAGCGTCCTCTGGCAGCATCACTGATACTATTTGTGTTCTTCCCACATCATACCTGGGGACAACGCACAAAGCACTGCTAGACAGAGTCTTGTCCTCCCTGGACACCTCTCCAAAACCAATCCAGACTGGATGCTAACTCTCTTCACCTCCTCCTGGCCTGGCCCTTTACCCGTGGGAGCTACCACAGATGTCTACCTGAACCCTCTTCTCCCACCTCAGTGCTCTGTTATGTCCTCCGCGGTGAGCTGTGCTTATTCTGACTACCTGGACGGCCATTGTCCTCAGGAATGACTCAGGCTGACTACCACCCCGCCTCCTCCCTGCCTGCCTCAGGATGCAGACCCCAGAAGCCCCTGGGAAGTGTGGTGCCAGGTGCCTGGCCAGGGCCTGGGCAGCCAGCAGGGAAGACGATGCTGGGTGTCCTCAGCAGGGACCAGGGAGGTCTTTACCTGAAAATGGGCCCCAGCTCCTGGAAGGTGCGGTGCATGTCCAGGTGCAGGCTCTCCTGGCCTTGCTCCTTCCAGATCCGAAGCACCCTCAGCCACTTGTTGCCCGGGCACCGAGGGATGGCTTCAAAGGGCAGCACAGCCTTGGGGGCCGGCACTGCTCTGGTGCCTACTGTCCTCCTTGCCACGTGCAGGCACGGCCAGGGCCCTGCCAGCTGCACACCTGCCTTCATCAGGAATCCCATTGTGATGCTGCTCCTTCTCCTCTTCTGCCCAAGTCCTTTTTATCCAGCCTGGGACCTGCACTGACTGACTGAACACGTCATGGGAGAAATTGTCCCTGGACCTGCCCAAGATATCTGGGCTAGAGCCCTCAGCTAGAGGTGGAGGAAGGGGATAGCCAATGCCCTTTTCCTCAAGTACAAGGTCTGCTGATGGGTGGGAGCAGAGGGCAGGTGCAGGGTCCAGTTGTGGGCTGATGGGACTGGAGGGTGGGGGTCAGACACCTCTCCCTTCTTCCTGTGGGTAGAAATAGCAAGATGAATGGATCCTCTAACCTTTAAAGAGATCAGAGAAGGCCTTGGGTTCTTTTAATAGATTTTTTTAAACTCCCTTTAATAGAAATAATTCTGAAAAGTTGGAAGTGTGTTAAAGCCTTACAGTTCTTCCTTAGCAAGTCTGAATTTATTTAATTATAAAAATAAAAGGAAGCTTAACATTATTTCTGGAGAAACAGGGAGTAATATTTATGGCTTGCCAGGTGTGGTTTCACAATGCACCGTAGAATGTGAGCATTTACTTTATACCTAGGCGTTTCATTTTTTGATTACATATATATATATATATATATATATATATATATATGTAGTATTGTGCCTTTACATATAAATATAAAATTGTGTTTTTAATTTCAAATTTTACTTGTTTGTGACTGAGGCATAGAGACAACTGGCTTCCGTATATTAATCTTGGATCTTCTGCTTTGAAACGTCTGCTTATTAGTTTCAGGAGTAGTTTATGTGGTTCTGTTGGATGCTCTACAGAAACAGCCATGTCACCTGTGAGCAAAGCATTACTTCTTTGCTCCAAATCGCTATAGTTTTCATTTCATTTTCTTTTCTTACTGCCTTTGCTAGGGTTTCTAGGGCTTCTTTCTTAGATGTAGAACAGGAGCAGTGTGAGGGACCTTCCTTGGTTTGTTTCTGATCTTAGCAGGAAAGGTTCTGGCTTCTCACCATTATGTGTAGTGTTAGCTGTGGGCTTTTTGCTTTGTTTTTTGAAATAGGGTCACACTGTGTAGCTTAGGCTGGCCTCAAACTTGCCATCTCCTTGCCCCCTCCCCCAGTGCTGAGGTTGCAGGCCTGTGGTACCCCCCCTGGTGCTAGGTGTAGGCTTTTGTAGATACTCTTCACCAACTTCAGGACTTCTCCCTGTGTTTTTAGTTTGCTGACACTTTTTATCCTGAATGGATGTTAAACAGCAAAGTACAAAAAAAATAACATTCCCTTTCACCTCTACTTATTCCTCCTGCAGTGCTCTTCCTTTTCCTGTCTTTAAGGAGATTAGCATTTCTGATCTTCCTCATTTCCCTTCTCTTTGAAGAGTCGTTAACATTTCTGGGAAGGCAGGTCTATTGGCAAAAAATTCCTTCAATTCTGTTTTTCTGAGAAAGTCTTTCTTCCTTGCTTTCGAAGGATAATTTCTCAAAATATAGAGTTCTACACTGACACTGGTGAGTTTTTTCCTTTCTAGGCTGGGGCTTGACCTGAAGCCTTGCACCTGGTAGACAGATGCTGCACCACTAGAGCCACAACCAATCCTCTGTCTTAGTTATTTTTTAGGTAGTTATTTTTTCCTCAGGGCCAGCTTTGGACTTCAATTCTCCTACTTACACCTCTTGCATAGCTGGGATGCCCAGCTTGTTGGTTGAGATAGGTCTCAAAAGCTTTTTGCTCAGACTGGTCTCAGACCATCACCCTCCCAATCTCTGCCTCCTTAACTTCTGGGGTCACAAGCTATCCCCCTAAATACTCTGCTTCACTCTCCTTTTGCTTGCAAAACTTCTGAGAAGCCAACTATAACTTTTATGTTTGCCACTGTATAGGTAAGATGTTTTCCTGATTTTTTTTTTCTTTATGCACTTTGAATATGATATGCCTAGGTGTAGGGTTTTGTTTTGTTTTGTTTGGGCTTTTTTCTTGGCATTTATTTGTTTTATGTTCTCTGAACATCAGGTTTGGATCTGAAAAGTCACCTAAGTGCCATGTGATAAAGGTTTGGTCACCAGCCTGTGGCTCCATTGGGAGGTGGTGCAACTTTCAGAGGTGGCCCATAAGGCCTTTGAAGAGAATGCTGGGTCTCCCTCCCTCCCCTCTGCTTCTTCCTGGGCACCATGAAGTGCACAGCCTCCTCTGCCACCATGCTTCTCTGCCTCACCACAGGCCCACAGCAATGGAGCCAACCCACCATGGACTGAAGCCTCTGAAACCACGAGATAAACCAAGATGAACCTTTCCTCCTTTTAAATTGTTTCATGTCACAGACATGAAAACCTACGCAACACAGTAAACTTCCTGAACCTGTGTTTTGGTGTCTGACATTAACTATTATTCATTCAAATATTTATTTTGTCCCTTTCTCTCTCTCTTCTTCTTCTGATGTGTGCATTACATTTATCGTTGCTCCACAGTCTTGGATGTTCTGTTCCATTTTCTTCAGTCATTGTACTCTTTGTCTTTCCGACATATCCGCAGGCTGTAAGATTCTTTCTTCAGCTGTGTTCTGTCGTCTACTAAGTCCAGCAATGACATTACCCATTCCTGTCAGTGGCTGTTATCTCGTTTCTCTTACTCCTGTTAGTGTTCTCTTCTCTGTGCTTAAGTTACCGTCTGTTCTTGTGTGTGATCTGTTTCCCTCCTAATCACTGTTATCAGCAATTCCCAGCTGATAATCCCGACTTCCTGCCAAGTCTGGTTCTTATGTTTGCTCTATGTCTTCAAGCGGGTTTTGCCTTTCAGTGTGAGCTGTGATTTCTTGTTGAAAGCAGACATCATGCACTGGGTTGGAAGTGAAGAGGTGGTAAGTTGTGGAGAGAGAGAGGGAGTCTATAGTCTTATGATTAGGTCTCAGTCTTTCAGGAAGCCTGGGTCCCCAACATCACTGTTAGGGAAGTCGTGCTAGGACCAAATGCCTTACTGGAAACTCCCCATCCAACCCCCAAAAATTACAAAGGTACAGTTGTTAACCTTTATCTCCAGGTGGGTGCCAAGGACAGTTGAGCAGACAAGTGACCTAACCACAACTTATCTTCCTTGGTTATCCAGCAGCAGCATCCCTTAGACACTCACAAGAAAATTTTCTGCCCAGTGACCTTCCTGAAACTTGTCCACCAGCTCCCCCAATATCTACCCCAAGCCTGTACATGACTGTGAGCTCTGGCTCTCTTGCTGGAGACCCCCACCCCCCCACAGCCTCTCTTTACCAAATAAATCCTGTGCTGTCTCCCACGTACTCTTCCGTGCCTCTCATCACTCACAGTCCTTTTCATTACCCCCTTCCCCCCCCCCCCACTTAATTGGAAAAAAATAACTAAAGGGGCTGGACTTGGGTAAGATCTGATAAAAAAAAAAAAAAAAGCTCACAATTCAGGCTCTAGTAAAATAGATTCTGCCAAAGGCAAGTCTTATTACAAAAAAAAAAAAAAGGTGTTCTGATGTGTTTTAAAGGGGTTATTTTTTATCTCATGAAGCAGGAGATATTTTTTTTCCTCTGATCTTTACTGTAAGAAGCTGGTAGAACTCTTGGAGGTCATACACACTGAAAGTCGGGGAAGGGAGCTACCCTGTGACTGGGTCCCCTGGTATTTTTAACTCTCAGACTTGTCCACAGAGAGCATCTGAAAAATTTTCAGTGATGGTGTGACCCTTTCCTGACCCCGGGTTCCATGGTGGGGGGGTTCTGCTTGGTGAATTGTGACTCTGTGTTAGATGTCTGTCTCTCCAGTTCTGGGGGTAGATGTGACTCCCCATCTCTTGCAGAGCTAAGATCTGTGAACCTTAAGGGGTTTTCCAGCTAATATTTGTTGCTAGGATGAAGGAACAACTTTCAATTTCCTCAGAGTTGTACTGGAAGCTGGAAGTTAGGCCTTGAATAACTCGTCTCCTTAGAAGACCCAGAGCAGGAAGGAAGGAGCTAAGGTTTACATTCATGGAATTAGACCCTTCCTATTTTTGTCTACTCTTCCCCAGGCCTTATGCTGGATGTGGATTGGAGACACGAGCCAGGGACTTCGCCATTGTGTCCAAGGCCTGGTCTTGGCTAGCCTTGCTGGCAAGTTATAGTGAGGAACTGCCGATACCTGTGAGACAATGGTCAGTGAAGGGCAGGAAGATGCTTGGAGCCACACTCAGGCAGAAAGACTAGAGTTGAGTGTGCCATGGGTCATCCTGGCCCCACATGGAGCCCTGCACTAAGTGTTCATGACCACTTTTCCATTCTAAGATGGGTGTGTATGGTTCAGATACATCACTCAGCAATGAGGAGACAATGGAATTTGAGTTGGGATGGGACAGTCCAGGGATTCCCTACAACCCCTCACACAGCTAGTGCTAACCCTTGTTAGGGCTGAGTCCTGATTGGGTTTCCATATCATCTCATGGGAATGCTGTAGCAGTCCCACGCAACAGGCATCGATGTCATTGTCCCTTTTTCGCTATTGTGAACAGGGCTGCTGTGGGAGTGAGATGCCTCTTTGATATACTGATTTCATTTCTGTTGGATATACACCCAAGAATAGCATAGCCAGGTGTAGGGGAATTGTATTTATAGTTTTTTAGGGACCTCCACATTGTTTTCCATAATGGCTACCCAACTGTCCACACCCTAACTAGCACTTGTGTTTTTTTTATTATTGCCATTCTGACTAGTGTGAAATGATATCCCATTGTGACTTTGATTTGCATTCACCTGGTAATTGATGACATTGAGCATTTTTTCACGCATCCATTGGCCATTTGTGAATCTTCTTTTTTGAAATGTCTGTTCAAATCATTTGACCATTTTTAAATCAGATTATTTGCTTATTTGGCCTATAGTGTGGTTTGTGATATTTCCTTGTTGATTTTTTGTGTGTGTGGTATTGGGGTTTGAACTCAGGGTTTTGCCATTTGCTACTCTACCACTTGAGCCACACCTCCAGCCCTTTTTGTACTGGTTGTTTTGGAGGTAGGGTCTTGCTTTTTGCATA